AAAAAAMCCCAAAGCACCACCTCAAACAAAACAAAAAAAAGACCCCTCAAAACTAAAAATGAAGGGACACAAAGACGATGGCAACAAAAACGTTTAAATCAGGCAACTGATGAGAATTACTACATATTGGCAAATCAACCACTTGCTGAAAACAAAAGGTCACAAGAACATGCATCCTGGAAAATGAAAATCTCCTACAATTCTGTCCAATTTGAACCAAAAAGGTTTCTAARCCCTGAAATTTACACTTTTTGGAGCATTACTGTTGCACTTGGAAACCAACACTGTTCTATTTCAACACACTTCACATTTTCTGTCACAATACTGGAAACGTGGAAGTGGCAAAAAAAGATCTCTGTTTTGAGCAGGAGAATTACAGGAAAGTGACATCTGGTTTGAGGAATCAAAGAATCTGGATAAGCAGGGAGGTGGTCAGGGACTGCGGGAGCCGTTTCTGTGTTTGGCTACCAGTGAGGTACTTCGACCACAGTTTCACAAACAATTTAGTCCTGTGGTGTCAGCAGAAAAAACATTCTCATCTTTCCCCCTCCTGACCACTTGTTTTATGCCCTGTGTGCCCTTCCTGCCTTGTGCTGGCGCAAGTGTTTGTGTAGCCATGCAGTGAACCCATCAGGGGAGCTGGTCCAGGCTAAAATTACTCTTTTTGTCCCTCTCCTGCTGGCTCCTCTAACCTTGGTCAGCTCACCAGGGATGAGGAGAGGAGAGCAGAACCACTCTTCTGGCAGCAACACTGGCTTCTAGTATTCATGGAATCACTGTTTCAGACTGCTTGGKAAAACCAGACCAGAGAAAATGCAATTCCACTGACTTCCTTAAAGTCAGGTAGACAAACCTGTGTGTCATGCTATACAGCAACTCAACGCCTTTATGGATTGCAGTGGGAGAAAATATTCATTCTTTCATTTCCCAAGAAAGGAGAAGCATATGGAGAGACAGCACAGTTGGCAAAAGTGCTCCAGAAAAGAGCACCAAGCCTCCTAGGGCCCCAACAGCAATCACCTGTACCTGTAGCCTATGCCTACAAGGAAGGAATCCCATCCCCTGAGCAGCACGGAAGAACTGTTCTGACCACCTGACATAGTCACAGATATGCAAGTGATCCAATTGTTTCACAAACATTTCAAGTGTTCAAACATTATCAAGTGTAACCAATAAATGAAACTTCAATTGCTACATCTAAGCCTGATGCAGGACTTGCTTACTTGGCTAAACAATGATGACATCTGCAGTGGGAGTATAAAATTTTTAGAGAATATGAAACCAGCAAGAAAGTAGAATGAAAACCATCATGAAATTCATATTTGGGGCATGGGAGATGACTAGAAGAGACTGCTGGAACACAACCAGTCTTTCTGAAAATTTTGCTCCTGATTGATAAGATTCACTTACTTTCCTAGCAAGTTTGGAGTTTTTTTAATGTCCTTTTGTTTTATCTAGTCTGTTTTTGTACTTTTATAAGATGTGAAGCACTTTCAGGACAACACAGGTTGATTTCATTAAGTCAATGCCATATTGTAAAATCACTTATTAAAAAAAAAAAAAATAAAAAGGAGATAGTACTACCTAGAGTTGCACCACTCAGATCTGAGTTAATGCAACACTCTAGTATTGCAGAAAGTGTTCTGTGGCACTCTATTTAAGTAACAACCTAGTTAAGACATGAAGTTAAAGACAATCATCTTATTAAATATGAATGGTTGCAGGCCAGCTCGTAGTAGCCTACTTTAAAACAAAGCACAAATTAGCACTTTGRAGCACTGGTGAAGATAACCATTGGAGCTTCAATGCTTTGTGCTAATCTGGGCACTGGCACACAGCTCAAAATACAATGCGGTTCACAGTCTCCGTTCAAAAAAATTCCTCTCATAACTCATGCCTAGCTATAATCCATAAACCTACAATGCTTGAATAGACTGACATAAAATAGGTAGTGCCAAAACTATATTTAGCCCATTAAACATGGATAGTTGCCCTAGTTATTCTTCCAGTTAAAATCTATGAAGCTTGCTAAAATAYTTATTTTTCCTACTGAAGATTTCAGTAATCAAATACTATGGTTTCTTTAACTGTAGAAAGAAAAAATAAAAAYGTCCTCTAATAACATCCTGTATATTTGCATCTTGCAGAGATCTAATTAAAAAGTACATACACTTACATCTGGCTTTAAAACACACTACAAAAATGATATCTGTGTGTATGCATGGAGACACAGCAGGGCAGAATCTCAAAACCTCAGCTCAGGGCTCTATTTAGCCTATACAATGCTTGCTGCTACCACATTTTCCTATGGCCTTCTGCTGGTCAGTGACCGACAAAGGACCATCAGTAATGCCCATCAGAAACTACATTCTAGTCACACTAGACATTTCAGGGAGGACTGCAGGGTGTTATCTCCCATAGGGGATACGCAGAGGAGCCATAGAGGAGTGGGTAACTGGGGTTTGCTGTGCAGCYCTGGAGGGAGTGCAGAGATGAGCAGTTCCCAGCTGACCTTGGAAGAGAGCCCACCAAGAGGACAAGCAAGCAGACCACACTGCCATGGGGGAGTGAAAACACYACTACTCAGCATCTCACAATCGCTGTGCTTTGTGAGCAAGGGCACCAAGGCATTGTGATACACTTGAAAAAATAAAGGAAAACCTCTTCTCAGCAGGGAAGAGYAGTTAAGGAAAGGAAATATAATTATACATTGTGTTACCGCTAATTTCTACTTGCTTCTCTTTAGGTTTATGGTTTAAAGAAGGTAGGCCCAGTTTCAGTTTGGTCTCACCAAGCACTGGTCTTGCCATGCACTGGCCATGATCTCTCTCAAGTGCTGAACAGGCTTTTCTACTGGYCACAAGTGACACTTGTGACAAAGACAATTCAACATGGTACAAATGAGCAATACTACTACTAATTCAAAGTGAAGAAATCCCAGCAGGAATTTTTTCAGGGCTTCTTCTTGGTTAACWCTGTGGTAGCATTGCTGTTACCAAATACCACACAAGAAATTCACAGGTCTAATTCTCTCTATGGAGCACATATTAAAGAAAATAGAAAATTGCCCTATTCTTCTAACCTCTGATGAACTGAATAAAACAAGAGTGACATAAAACAGAAAACAGTGAGGAGAAGAACATTAGTACAATCGCACATTCCTAATTGTGTGTCTAATGAAAAAACAAAGATGTCTAATGAAAAAGCAAAGTGCTTTTCAGAGTTAAAAAAATCTAGAAGGGAACGACCCTCAAGCACTTCTACCCTTCAATTTAGAATTGTCTAATCTTTCCAAGCATCAGGATCATTATTTATGTGGACTCTCACAGCTAACCATATCGAGAGTGATAAATRTAAGAACCAAGAAGCTTAATATGCCCGTAATTCTAATGAACTGATAAGCCTTATTAGTTCCTCACATACTAATCACAGTCTATTTTTAGCCCTCCTATTTTCTGCAAAAAATACAACGCTCTAGATACTGAGGATGTACTAGCTTAAAATTACATTAAAATTTACAACTACAGAAGTGATATCAAAATATTATTTTAGAAAATTGAAGATTGATACCTGCTTTAAAAAAGCAGTGAGACTTGCAACTAYTTAAGATGTCTAATACTCTTAAGGAAATATACTCCATACCACCTCCTTCTTTTTAAGCAATACACAACCAACAGAGTGATCATCCCCAGACCATGTGTTTTGTGTCAGAAACCAATGAACACAAASCCTTTCTAGCATTGTAAGGTTACCTTGCCCTGATGGTCGTGTTTCATTTCCCAACCCCTGGGCAGCTCCAGCTGTTTGTTGGCAAACATGTTGAGGAAGCCCACCAAATCCCGGTTGTGCTGGTAGCGCTCAAAGTGGTGGGTGTCCCGCCGGACTTTGGTGATCATGTGCTTCAAACACGTGTTATTTGTAAACATGCGGTAGGCACTCTGCAAAACAGACAGCAGCAAAGGCTTTTCAAAGATAAAACTGCTCTTAACACAAAAGCCCCTTCATCCTAAGTGTGCTTGCAGAAGTTACTAATTTTATTATTTCCGCTTAAACTACAAATCTTTGAACTTTACACAAAGAAACACTTGGTGTCGGGGAACCTATGCAAAAAGAAGCACAGAAGAACAGGCAAAAAAAGGAAAAGGAAGACACATTAGATGCTTTTTTCTATTGTTACAACCCAGGCAATCTGGGGAAAATAAATCATGCCATTAAACAGCAAAGTCTTTCTCAGAATTGTGTCTCACCCTCTGCAAARCATAGTAAGAAAGCTGTTGCTTCAATAAACGAATAATTTCCTAACATAACAAAGATGAAGAACTGAGTGGAAAATAAAAACTGCTATCATGCAGAGCCAGGATAGCTGTGGTAGCCTAATAATTGCAAGGGATGATGATGAGTGAATTTATAAAGCCCCCCTAGGTACTACCAGTATCTTATCATCAAACACCGAGCAGTATCTTTGCACACAAAACAACTGCATTTATAAGCACCTATTTATGAAAGCCTTTGAGCTGTAGCCACCATACTCACAGGGTTAGAATGCAGCACTGTAAAGAACTCTGGGCTGATAAGGAATTTCACAGGGGGAGACTGGAGCAATAAAGTAAGTCTGGATCTGGAGGTAGAGTGAGGCAGCACATTCTCTCTTCGAAAATCTAAGAGCAAAGTAAATGACAAAGACTTGCAGCAGWTATCACCAAAGCATCACTGCAAACAACTGCATTGATTTAAATCACACAAGAAAGAAAAGCATAGAATACACAACTATTTCAGAGTTACTGAGGATTTACCGCATAAGGGTACCCAAATATCTTCTAACATAACACTGAAGCTTCTGAAAATATTACAATTTTAGTTTAGTAACTTTTACTTGAGGCTTTTGGTAAGCAATCATTAAACAAAAATATATGGGTTACCAAATTTATGCCTCTATGTAAGATGCAAGAAAGTCCCAGGGGCATGTCTGCACTGGTATACTGTGGCTGTATGCAGGTAAGTTACTTTTAAAAGGCTAACTAATGGATATAAAAGCCATTGTACACCTATAAATGTTTCATTCCTTCTTAAAAAAACAMACAATAAATCTGCCATTACCACAGCCCCAGTCCTGACACAGTMTTTAAGCAGCTTATGTAAGTAAGAAGCAGGTTGCCAAGGAAGTACCTTTCAAGTTTCAACTTCCAATAAACATTTGTGTCTTCTCCTAGCAACTACAGAAGTGCCCTGATTTTTCTACAGTACCAGGAAGGAAGTGAAAATATGAGTGGTGTTTGCTACCATGTCAAAACTGTTGCCCCCAATTTTCTTTGAAGATATTTGGAAGCATATTTTTAATGTAAATAAAAAGCTGCAAGTTTAGATTCACTGATCTTACACTAAAATGTGTCCTGCCACCTTTTAGTTTCTTTCTTTTTAGTTTCTTTTTAGAAACATTTTAGTTTCTTTCTTTTTTACACATTGCAGTATTTGCACACCTCTCCATCAAATGAATATTAATCACGTAGACCACAGCTATCACAGATACCAAAGATCATAACACACAAGCAGAGCAAGGAGAGAGGCAGTGAATTAGACTCTAAACTGAGGAAAAAGTAAGAAAAAAATTACAAAAGAAGAGGAAAATAACAAAGACAGGTAAAATTCTAAATATAGATAGGTAAATATTATAGAAAAAAAGGGTATGGGGAAACAAACCTGTTGATTCTAAGCTCTAGAGGAAACCAGGAAGTGGGAGGGTAACTGGTAAAATAAATAATAAACAAGAGGATTTTGAGAGACACCTCTTAAACAATAGACCTGAGGCTCTCCCGCATGAAGCACATCAGTGGAGCGAAGGCAGACTGGCACAAAGGCTCCTGAAGCTGTGCCTGAATGCTTGAGCTGGGAGTGTCTTCCAGACATGCACTGAATTTGCATGTRAACTCTGTACTGGTACAAAACCTGGGTGCACACCAGCAACTCTCACACCCTGAAGATGCTGTGAAATGCTGCAAATATGTCCTCTGCCACAGTTTGGGCAGCCTGGAAACCAGAACTTACCAGGTGGGTTTTTGTGGCAGTTTGAGGCTTAGGAATTTGGTTTATGAAMAGTTTATTCAGCTGAACTTGCTGGTTAGGGTTTGGCCTGGATTTGCTTAAAGCTGATTTGTGTACAGCACAAACCATGTGGCTGCACATGCACAAAGAAAGGGAATGGCTACAACACAAGTAAAGACTACAAGTAATAAAAGGGAACACTTGGGTAAATCTCAAGTTCTACAATGACTTGAAACTCCAGAAAGGGTGACACTGCTTGCATACCAGATCAGTTTAGGAGACAGTTTTGTAAGTGTATATCAAGAGCATCTAAAGACAAAGCCAAAGCACACAACACCACACAGCTCTGCAATAGACTGGATGGCTAACAAACTTTATTATTGTATTCATAAATTATTAGTAGGAAAATGACCAAGGAGAGAACTGCTTACTGAAAAATAAAAAAACAGTAATGATGTTCAGAACTCACAAAAAAATATCTTTCTTCCTATCTTCATTCAAAAGGTTAACATTGGCCAGACAATCAGAWGAATGAAAAAGTGAGAGAGGGTGGGTTAAAGATACAGTGCAAATCAAGTGTTTCCGGACCCTTTAGGCTGGGTGAAATGCACTCTTAACAGTTAAAAAACAAGGTGGAGCAATTGCTGAGATATTGGTGGTCCTTTTTGAAGGAGTTCTTGGAAGGAATGGGATAAATGCTATAAGAGGACACCAAGATGTTTCACCAAGATCYCTCTGGCTCTGGTCCTACTCATAATTTCTACTAATGACTGCATAGGGAAGACAAAACTCACTCCAATTAGGAGATTCTGCAGTGCTTGGACAGCAGCATGGAAAAGATAAAAAACCAGAGTGGCACATTATGAAAGTGCAAAGAYCTGTGTGGAGGTAGGGATAATCAACTGCACAAACACCAGATGAAAAACAGACGTTTGTGACAAAATTCTGCACACAAGGATCAGGACCTGATTTTAGCAGATCAAAGACAGAACATTACTTAATGTCAAACTATCAAAAAAAAAATCCCCAAAAAATCAACCCCAAAACCTTCTGGAGGAATGCACAAGGAGTGTTTTATGTAAGACACTTCCACAATCTCTTCAGTACAGCAGAGTAATAGCTTTATTTGGTTTTCTGAAATACTCCTCAGAAGCTGAAGACCAGCTCAAGACAATCCTGAGTAAGCCAACAAAATAATTTAAGACCTAAAACCACAAGTCAAGACTAGGAAGTAATGGATTTGAGGGCAAGCTAWAGGAAGAATTGCATGAGTAGACTGTTTAAAAAAGTTAAAGAATCTCCATCAACTGGACAACATGTCATAAGAACACATGAGCCAGCACTTAGCAAGTATGGCCTAGGAACWGCTCATCAATCTATCTACAGAGATGTAGTCAATGACTGCCTGAAGCCCTTTCTAAATTGTCCYATTTTAAACTGCAGTAGCAGAGTCAAAATATTTGTAAGCTAGACCACATAATTTTATACTTTTTCACTTCAAATGTCCTGCTTTCTTAGCCAGTCTGGTACTGAYAGAAAAGTGCTCTGAATCTCACATTCATCTCTTCAGCATACTGAGCAGACTGAGTCATAATCTTCAAAACTAGACAGCAATGAAAAAAMCAGGCTTCATTTTCATACAGACTTTCAAAGGCAAAAGTTAGGTTTCGCTTTATGTACTCTCACTAAACCATCTATGAGATGATTTAGAGAAGGGGGGAATTTTTTTTTTTTTTAACCTGAATTAGAATGGTGAAATTCAGCTTCCTCTGCCGCTCCATCCACAGCATTTGTGTGCTCTTCAGGCCTGTCATTTGTCATTGTTCTTCGGATGCTCTGGTACCTAGGGTTGGAAAACTGGACTTTATATATAGTATATGGTAACCATGACCCAATTCTGGCTCCAGGGGAATGTGCCCATCTTTTCCACCACATAGGTCAATAAATACTGACCTCTAAYTGCTGCATTAATAGCCTTTCGAATTTCTAACAATTATTATCAGATGTATTATTTTTGATCACAGGTGRAACACAGAAGTCCTGGAAGCCCACATGCAAACTAAAAGCAACAGCCACATAAAAATAACCACCTAAGGCCAGCTGTGGTAGCAGCTGTGGCCTTGTCTCCACTCTCAGTCTTGCAATGGTGAATGCAGTTTTGCAAGCACACAAAATTCACAGCCACCAAGGGGAATTCTTACCGGCGATTCAGCTGTTCCATCTGCTGGATGGAATTTGAYCTCTGCAGAATCTGTGGGGCTGGGGGAGCTGTGGGTCGCTGCCACGTTGTCGTCCTGTTCACGTGATCCACGTAAAAAATCCGYCCGTGGCTGTCAATTCGAGCCTCCCAGTCTAAAGAATAAACCATAGGGGTTACTTTTGTAGCCCCATCTATTGTTTTAAGTCTATATTTCTCTTTTACAGGATGACTTCAACACAGAGCCTTCTTCCTGAAGGGTTAAGAGGGATGGCTTTTTCCTATTTTATCCCATAAATGAAATTCCCCACTGTAGCTAATGTTCCATGGAACTCGTATCTAAAAATTTCCATTCCTTTTTCTATTCTACTTCCTACTAACCAGCAACTGTCCAAGATTAAAAAACAAACAAAAAAACCCCACCAAAACCAAAGCAACAAAAAAACCATCTGTACACTTAGTTTAATTCTCTTGAACCAAAGCAATTCAAGATCCAATCTCTGAGGCTCATTCCTATGCAAATGGCCAACGGGTAAGTACCATAATCCTTGCAAAGCTTGACACCCCCATTGTTTTTTCCAGTGAACAGCAACAGTAAAAAAATTTACAACAATGCTCCTCCTGTCTGTCCATCTACCTACATTGAAGTAGACCTGCCAGGAAAGAGGCTCATTTATAGCACTCCTTCATGTACTGAATATATGTCCCAGAATTGCCAACTATTCAAATATCACAGCAAATTTAACTTTTTGTGTAACTAATGCTGCCCACTAATTTTGCAGAAGAAGCTAAAGACAGTGCTAAAAGTCTTCACCACCTAGGGAGAGCAGAGAGGAAGGCACCAGGACCTTTCCCCAGCCAAACCCAACTTTCAATGATCAGCAGAAAAACAGTGCAAATTACTCTGCAATCTTTGTGATGCACAGTCAAAAGTGGTGTTCACATAAACCTAAAGAGAAGCATTTCCAGTGCTATGTGGGAAAAGTATTTGCTATGTAAAATATTACACATTTGAAAGCCATTCTAAAAATTAATTTCATTTSTATGTCAAAAAAGGAAACAAACATTTCAACGTTTTCTGAAAAATGTTTCCTTTTTTTTTCTTAAAGAAAAATATATTGAAACAGATGTTTCTGTGCAAAGGTCCCTTTCAGGAAAAGCAGTATCTGCTGAAGAAATAAAAACACTCAAGTTTTTTAAGCAGAGTTTGTAAACAAAATTAAATATTGAAGTATTCCGGGAAGAACAGTATTGTTCATCGAGAAAAAAAACCACAAACAAAAAACCTCTCAGTTCATATTTGTGAATTCATTATGCTTCTTAAATGCCAAGCTCTAAACCACTATATAAGAAGTTATCATTTTTCTTGTGGTGTTTATGCCCAATTCTGACACAGTCACCATTTCTGTAACACGGTCTGGCAGAAGAAAAGCATTTTTGCCTGTAGTTAATTTTAACACACAAGTTTAAACATTTGGGCAATGGCTTCCAAAGTAAAGCATTTGCATTAGTGTTGTGATGGACAAGATTATCTTCTGCTATATTCCTCTGTAAGGCTATATTCCATCAAATCACTGTTAGTCACATGTGTTACAAATAGCTTGCTGAATTGCAAAATTGACATTCATCGAGGTTCATGGTCAAGCTTGTCAATTTTTCCCCAGGAATGTAGGAACTGGAGATTATTGTTGCACATTATGGGCAGAAGTAAAAGATGCATGTTTAAATTTTTTCTCTTGCTCTTTAACTTWACTGAACACAAAATGAAGTTCACATATTTTTCTTTCTTACTTTCAAATTCTGGTGAACCAACAAATTGAATATAACCCAAATTACAAAGAAATAACAGTTTACAACTCAAAATCGTATTCTTGACATTTTCTCTAATTTTTTAGTATTAAAATATTAAACCTGTCACACATCTGAAAGCAGAGTTTTGAAGAGAAAAACTGAATCTAGCAGTGATTAGTATTTAAGGCTTTATTCATATTAGGAAACAATTGATTTAGACAGAGATTGCACTGGGCTTTGACTGTAAAGGGATGATGTGTACATGCATGATTGTGTAGAAACCTAGAAATATTAAAATACTACACAGACAAAGCTTTTTCACTAACATTCCAATAGTTTTTCCAAGTAGTTATTGTAGTGTATAGCTCGCTTCTGAAACCACAGAACTGGTCCAGCTCTCTCTCTGCATTTCTGAAATATATGTGTGCCAGACACAATTTTGTAAAATGTAGAASTGGTACATGAGGGTGGCAGTTAATTAACTTGAGGATCTGCACACAGGATTAATCTGATTATAACAGAAGCAGCAGGGAGCACACCATATCATCATCCTGGCTTTCCACACACAGTTATATTTGTGTTCTGCTATCAGGCTCCTCCCAGTTGGTGCAATTACAGAGCAAACAGAGTCCCATACCATAGTGGGAAATAGGGATCTGTTCATTTTACACTAAATTTCTTAATTTCCTGACTTCTTTAAAGTAACAGAGCTTTACCACAGACTTCATGGGGTCTGAATTTAACTTATTTTTTTTTTGCACATTTGTTTTAAAGCAATGTTTGCCTAGTAGCTGTGTACCTTGGCAGGGGTGTCCTTTCTTTAAATACTTAATATCGAATAGATTTCCACTTCCCAAAGTTCAAGCAAGTGAGTAAGTTCAATAATTGAGAGCAATGTCTTTTCCACATGCATTAGAGAAATGACAATTTGCATGTTCATTAAGGCTTATCTGTTGCTTAATGTCCAGGTTTATTCTAATATAAAATCTTCACTCTGCCTCAAAAAACACAAGGAAAACACAGACATGTCTAAGATAATCTGTAGATTGAAAGATGGTGTATATTCCTTTGTAAATCATTACTATACGAGAAATATTCAGAGATTTGAGAGTGCTTGACAGCTCCCCATGTGACACTCAGAAATGTGTGTGCTCCAGGTGTAATTATCACAACACATCCCCAGAATCTGCACATGGAACTCAATGCCTTTCACAACAACACCGGACTGCACCACTCCTCACTCCCAACTTCTCAGCCGTTCATTCTCAGTTCTGACATTCAACAAGGCAATGTMATGAGATCTCAGTGATGAGATTCAGGCAGCACATCCCCCAGTTAAAGCATGGAGAAACTCACTCGGTGGCAGAGCCTCATCCACTCTCTGGTACCGGCTCACGTCCTGACGGACTGAAGGCAACGACCTCAAGGGCTGATGGCCATTGGCAGGAGAACCTGCAATCAAAACACCCACTAATTGTTTTTTTCTGTCAATGTGTGGAAGCCCTAGAGTAGCCTCCAAACTGAGCAAGCTATGTTAAAGATTCTGCAGGACTATGATATTTCAGGATGTATGTAACAGTCATCTATTCTTGGAGTCAAAATAAGTTATGCTGAYAGTTCCAGGCAAGTGATTCCTCTGGGATGGAAACATCAGCTCTGGGATGTGCTGCATCCATCTGTGAGCAGCCAAAGCYAGGGCACATAAACAACCTGTGCCTGAGCCATATCCCAGGACAAAGCTCCACTGTCCCCCTCAGAAACCTTGSTTCAGAGTGGGAGGTGAAACTGTCCATTGTCCTTCCATGTTGCAGCCACACTGATCTGCAAAACATGAAGGCAGCATGACACCTAATAAAGAGCATCCCAAATGTTCAGAAAATGCTGTAAAACATTGACACTATTTGAAATAAATACCAAAACTATTATTTTCAAATCAACGACATGTTTATGAAGATAAGAAATTAATACTAATATATGACCCTTGGTATTTTATGAAAAAGGTGGATTCAGAAAAACACTTGAGTGGATACACTTCAGTCCCTGAAGAAACTGAACAGATAATCCAGTATTAAAGTTGCTTGGAAACAATTAATTAGGGACAAATTTCTACTTTCATTGATTTTAGTGAGACAAAAAAATTCTCAGTTGTTAAAATAATTCTAAAATCAGTAAGAGTTTTACAGCGTTAACTTGGGTAACACATTCCTGTCCTCCCAAGGTTCCAGTGTGCTAGGATCCATCTGTACAGAGAAGGAACTGGGAAAGGGAAGATAAAGAGCCTGAAGTTGACCAAAAAGATGATTATTTTTCGTTTACCCTTTCTTTTGATTATCTTCATGTTTTAATGCTAATATAAAACATTCAAACGAAAAGAGCCAAATATAAAATACTTTGCATTTCATAGTTTGGGTGTTTTGTCTCTCCTCATTACCATTTTCATTAGTGAGCAGGCTAATACTGTGGAATTCTTTCCTCCTCTATATCCTCCTCACTACTCTCTCAAGAATTAAAATATATCCAATTTCAAAGTAAACATGTTTGGATATTTCAGGTTTGCRTTTTTCAATAAATCAAAGACCCCCAAGAGTCTCTTGAAGAAAGAAATAAATTCCAAGGGGRAAAAAAACTTGAAAGATAACGAAATAGAGAAATTAAGGATCTGTGTTTTCAGATGTTAATTTTCTTTTTTTTTTTTACTCCCTGCAGTAAGGCCACTTCAAAAAGTGCCTCCTGCAGCTGTTACCTCCAGTAGCTCCTTCAAGCTGTGCTGTGGCACCCTCACAAGCTGCTTGCGCTCCTTCAACTTCTTCATCCTGAGACTGGCTCTGGGCAGCTGCTGCCTGCAGGCTTCTTCTCCTTTGCCAGATTTCTTCTGCTTCCTCTCTCTCTTGCAGYTCTCCCGCCTCAGCCTCCTGTGCCTCATCCCGAGGTAACCGCACCTCGGGCAGGGAGCCAGCGGCACCCGCCGAGTCCTGTGTGTCAGCASCGGGCTCCGCTCCGGCCGCCTCGGGGGCACAGGCTCCCCCCTCCTCCTCCTCCTGAGAGGAGAAGGCTGGAGTCTCGGGAAAGCGGGCGCTCTCGCAGGAGGAGCAGCGCATCTCCACGGAGGAGCGGCGCACCGTGGCGCTCTCGTTGCAGGAGCTGTCGGCCCCCTCGGCGTCGCTCTCCCCCTCGGGCCGGGTGCTGGCCTCGCTGACGCTCTCGGTGCGAGCGGGGTCGCTCTGCTCGGTCTCTGAGGACAGCTGCGAGGGCTCAGAGCCTTGGTCGATGGACTCGGTTTCGCTGACGCCCCTCCTGCTCCCACCTGCAGCTTCGGCAGCTGCCGTGTCTGCAGTGCCGGGGGGCTGCTCTGCCTCYGCCGCGGCACAGGACTCGCTGCCAGCCTGCTCCGCTGCTGCTTCAGCCTGACAACCCTGCGGGCTTTCGCCCCCTTCCTCTGCAGGTGGAAGCTCTGGAAGGGAMTCTTGCTGGTCATCAGTTGCTGGCAGAGTATCAGAGGCTGAAACCCTTTCACTCTCTGCAGGCCCTGGCATTACCTGATCTGATGAGGAGCTCACATCATTTCTTTCAACATTTCTGGTAGCACCATTAAGCATCACTAAACCACCATCGTCTTCCAAAGATGGAAACCCCAGRTCTTGATGTAGCTCGTGCTCCTCTTCATCCGAGTCAATGTGAAGCATAGCATTRAGTCTTGTGTCAGTAGGGAAGCTACTCCTCAGTTTCGGGGAGGCTCCACGTGGACGATCACCACAGGCAGATGTCCCTGCTCTGGGATGGTTATTGTGTTCTATTGCATCGAGATAGTCATTCAGTGAGTCCTGGCGACCTCTGGGAGGTGATGATCTTGAAGCACCAGAGGTCAGCTCATCCTGATCTGTTTCCAGAGTCCTACTAGTCCTTAAAGAGTGTCTCAGGATTGTGTCTCCAGAAGAATCCTCAAARACTGGACCATTGGAACACACTGTGGATGTATCATGATGTCCAGCTGGCATGTCCTCATCATCAGAGGGGCTCCCCAAGTCTCCATTCACAGAGTGGGTTCCTAGCAAAGTGCCAACTGTTTCTGGGGAAGCATCTGCAGAGACACGGAGGCTGAACGTGAAACACAAAGCAGCAACACATTCACAGCAACACATTTAAGTTTATTCTGCTTGAACTATATAAAAATACACATCCTTGAAGATGCTTATTTCCATCAGAGAACTAAGAGAAGAAAATTCAATCAAAATAACAGAGGTATCCACAGTGCTGGAACAGCAATTACAGAATTTTCTCTGTGTAAGTCTATCCTATTGTGTTGGATATAGAAAATTTAAGGGGTGTGAAGTACAATTTTAAAGAATTGCTATTTTGCTTCCTAAAGAGACAGCACTGCCAAGCATAAAATGAGATTCATAAGCAAACTAATTTAGAATGTATTAAACAGAATCAAAATCAATATGCTAAGTGTTGGTGTTTTGGAATTACCATCTCCAAAGCAGTATCTGCCTTATCTAAATTTTGAATCTCGATAGAAAAAATCTGTAGTAGGGGCACTGTATACAAATGAGGAAGTATATTGTGTCCTCAACAACAGAAAATCTCAGACATGGAAATACACAGGAACTCTCTCCATACAACTACCTGGAGATCCAGATCATTGACAAATTCTCACCTTCATGAACAGAAGATGTGATTTCCACTTTGAATTGGAGATACCCACTAACATGATCAGCTGGGAGCCTTCTGCCAAGATTATAGCTGAGAACCTGGTCTCTGCAAAATCAAAAATATTGCATTTTTTTAAATTTTTAACTGGTTTTATGTTTCCAGTGTCTAATTTCTATTATGGTCTTAAAATCAGCCACATACTCCAGTTTGCACGGAAAAGCACAAATACCATCAGTGGTGTAAAATATCTTGTTACCAGATAGAACAGCCTAAAAAACTATGTTTGATCAATTACAAATACAGATTGTGCCCCATCAATTTTTATACATCCCTGAATATCTTAAGTTCTAAAGAAATCAAGCTGCAAAAGATCACTCTCACCTAACCTCCTCCTTTCCCCAACACAAAATGTTTTATAATTAACAAAACCTTTCTGCCCCCTTGTGGTTTTTACTATGTAGAAAAGTCATYGTTTCTTCATAATTTTTCATGTTCAACAAAGCACTTCTGCATTCTGATTTAAAAGAGCTGTTAATGCTTGAATTTATCTTCAAATACCTTCCTAAGAGTTCCTCAATCACTGGGGCTCAGACTGGGTTAGACACTGGTATCAGCTTGAGACTTTGGATCAGATCCCAGACTGTACATTCTTATTTAAATAAAGCCAGAATTCACAGCCCCAGCTCCCCTCAGCACAGCTGGGACAGCTGAAKGAAGAAGAGGGAGCTACTAAAGACTTCCATAGGAAATTATTGTTATTTATGCATGACTATATACTGGTGCAAACCTCTACTGGGAGCACTCCTACTGCAAAATAAAACAAATGCAATTATTACTGAAATAAGCCACACATAAACTTTTAGGGGGAAAAAAAAAGTCCTGAGTGGACAAGCAGCCCCCCCTCCCACGGTGCTCTGTATCCCACAGGACACACAATTATTGCTGTAGTGTCTCCAGGACCTGTCACAGATTCCTCACTCTGCACTCCAACTGCACAAGTCTGCAGTTTGATGTTTGATGTTTCCAGTTTTTATATAAGTTTCCTATTACTCAAGGCTGTTTGAGAATAGAGGAAACCACGACGTGGATAATGTCTTCTCTGTATTGAGCTCAATCAATTCTAGATGGTTCTAATGCTCATTTATCACATTTTGCAAGAAACTAAAAGCTACTGCCCATTTCATTACACAAACTTGTGAGCTATGACTACATCTAAAAGTGGGTCAGAATTTGTCCAGAAGTGGCTGGTTCTGGATTTCACCTTTTCATCCATTGACACCACCAAAATACTCGGTTATACTTGCTTGACAAAAAAAAAAGCAGCACAACAATTAGGAGTTAATTGTATATTTGATACATTTCTGCTTCACGTCTACATTAACCACTACTTTACTTCACAAAATCTTTGGTGAAATATTGCCTGTTTTTACAAAATAAACCTGAAAGTGGACAGATACATTACAGAAGAAGAGGCTAGAAACATTGCCATTTTCCAGTCAGACAATAAAGCTATAATTAAATTTCTTACTACAGATGTAGCTAAAATTTGCTGGTCTGTGCCAGCAAGCCAGAAAGGCTGTTCTTTGCAGTATCCTAGATGGTGTGTCTTCCTGCTGAACACAAGCTAGCATTAAGAATATATTCATTTACCCAATGGCATGTCTCTCCAATAGTCTCTGAACAGGTATGGTTAACTTCCCAAGGAAGCGCTTGATGATCGGACGACTCTTGGCAAATTTGTCTTTAACTTCAATTTCCAGGACATCTGTTAGAAGTGCAACAAAAGAATATTTCTGGAAGGAAAGAACATATTTGACACCGTATCAATACACTTTCATTCAGTAAGTATGTACTTAATTACTACCAACGTGCAGTGAACTCCAAAAGTAATGACTGATGACAGCAGTTTTCCATGTGGCAAAATAATGTCAACATCATTTATTAAGCACTGAATTTTTGCATATGTAAGTAGTTTTTTACTGTTCCCCATAGCCTTTTACTGTTCCTTGAAAAGAATTGCTCAGTAAGAAACTGCAMTGCATAAAAGCACTTTAAGGTTCTGTCAGAAAGTAGAAAGCCATGTATCCTACTGATTGTTTCTATCTGCATAGTGGAAAGCAAAAAGAGAATGAATCCTTGCTGTACTCTGCCAGGTCAATGCAGGGGGAAGGAAGTAAGTGTCTCACTCTAGGCTGTGCTTAGAAGAATTTCCCTTCTRACACCATCCTCTGCATTAATTTTTTTTATGCATGACAGGAAGTCAAAAGGGCAATATGMAAATAGTACATTCAGAAGCAGCATTACTGAAGGAGAAGAGTTTTGTATGGAGTTTTCCCCCAACATCTGAGAAGATTAACAAATCTTCTCAGCAAACTCCAAAAGAACTTTTTCCTGCACTTGGAGCCTTTAAACAATATGATGCTAATTGACAGAAGATTTCTTGATGTCTGGTAAAACAATTCTTCCACGTTTCCCTACACGGGAACATTAACACAATTACTCTCTTCAGCCTTCATTTCCATGCATTTTGTGAGTACCTCATCTCTGAGATCTGTACTCTTCTGTCAAGTCTGCCCAAAGATGGAGAAAAGATTCAAAGACAGTACAGGGGAAATGTTAAGCAAGCATGTTGGCAGACACACACATACAYAGAGTGTGATGATAAATCCCCTTAGGAAAACAAGCTTAGGAATGCAAAATTTATATCTGTCATTTAGATTTTAAGGGATTCCAAATAAACAAGCAAATTATGGCATAACCTACTTGGAAAAAACAACGTCATCTGATTATACTTTTACTATGTGGCACCTTTAACACCTCTGGGCAAACCACAACCTGTGTACAATGCCCAATACAGACGTGGTTAGGTGGCCAAAGATATACTGAACAAGGAAMAAAAGGAGAAATAGCTCTTCAGTTCAGCTGTAGGCAACAGATAAACATATTCAAAAAAAGCAATTAAACTGGGTCAGGAATAAAAACACTTCCTCATGCTGGGCAACTGTCAGAACTGGGTTCCTCTGATAAACAGAACTTAAAAATTTGTCACTCTCAGTTTGCTGTAATATTGCAAATTACTTTGCGGAAAGCATTAGATGTAAAACAGRATCAATTCTGCACCACCAGGACATGTAATGGGATCACAACTCTGCTGTCAGAACATTGCTACAGGGAAGACACAGCAGCTAAAGCAAACTGATAAAATGTGTGCACCAGTGAACGTTATCACTTTTCTAATAAGCTTCAAAGCCAAGGAGAACTGGAGGAAGAAGGAGGAAAAAAAAAAGTACATTTTATTTCTATCAATTGGATAGCTGGATGGACAGACAGAAAGCTGAAGAATCAGTTTAGAGATCAGAACTTTGATTTTTTAAAAGATTTTTCACATCTACAGTTTTTCCCCCAACCAAGCACCCCCAGACAGTGCTAATGCTGGCCCTGCTGAGTTCTGCTTTATGGCTTGTTTGGTTTATGATTTGTGGAAACATTTKCCAAAGTGTACTCAGTTTTCATCTTCCTAAAGAATACATTAACATTCACTGCAGGGCAGGCTTGCCAGTCCTGAARGGGTTATGGATGTGTGTCAGTAGTTTCACTTTGTTTCCCACACAAACATTTATCTTCAAAGGCACAGCCTGGCTCTCTTGCATTCAATGAAAGCTGTGGAATTGAGTTCCTTCCCTGGGATCTGCACTGTTCACCCAATATAAAGACATTTGATAAATTGGCTTCTGCCACTGCCTGTTTGCCCCCCTTGCTGAGTGGGGCTCCAACACCTTCCTGGGTTTTCCTTCCTACAACTGGGCTTGCAGGGGCTAAATCAGAGAGCATCCCCTCTGCCTGATATAACTGAAARTTTGTTACCTGCTACACACCATTTCCAAATGAACAGTGTTGCAATCACTGAACATAGTTGTTCRTATAATGTAACTTCTCTTAAAGAGTCTTCTCACAATATATAATCCATTTAAATTAATTTATTTTTGCCATTTCAAGGAATCTACAGGATGGCTAACTGAGTTCAGCTTTTTTAGCTGAAGCTTAAAGCAGCTTAAATACCCAGCTTTAATATGCAGATGATAACTGTTTCTAACCACCAATAGGGCTCCTAAAATTACTAAAATTTCTGTGTCACTTTAAGTAAAAATAACCTTACACCTTTCAGAGAGTAAGAACTAATGCAGGAGGAGAAAATACAAGCCTGGTACAGTGCACCAGCTGGCAGACAGCTCTGAAAAGGGATCCATTACCTCTCTGTGCCAAACAGGATTAGTTGTGTTACTGATGATAGTCGACCTTCTTTCCTGGCCATGATGAGCAAAGGTAGGAAACGTACTTTTCTTGCCTGGCTGAATGGACATCTTTAGATAAGGATCAGGGTTGAAGAACATGCCTTTTTTAAGTCCAGCTGCTCTAATATCTATAAAGCAAAGAAAAGAAAAAAAGGAAGGAAAAAGGAACTGAGTAAATTAAAGCTAGTTCACAAAGTAGTGTATTCCTAAAATACTACCCAGGAAATCAATTCACCATAGATTACTAAACAAAGCAACTTAAAAGTACTCACACATTAACTGGATCCASTGTACAGCAGGAAATCAAGTGTTTTCACAAAAGAATATAAGGAAGAAAGGTATCAACATCCTCATTTACATTTGAGTCTCCAGTTATTTGTAAAACAAAAAGCATAAACTTGTAGCTCACCTATARATGCTTTTCTCAGTAAGGTATGTAAGGTATTTTCACTCAAAGAAAGAAAAGAAACACAGACAGACAGAAATGGCCCAGAATAAATCACACAGTACTTGTTTTGTGTCTGGGTAAGGAGGGGATATAAAAACTCTATGGGAGGTAATGCAGTGGACACATACTTTCCAAAAGTTCAGTCTTTGATAATTGTAACTTATAAAGTCTGCTCTGGACTATGATGCAATTTTCTCTCAACAGAGCACATAATCCATCTCACATAAAAGGAGGCAAAGTTTTCTGAAAAGGCTTCTTTCTTCCTAGGGAAACCTCAGTGCTGCAGTCCTTGCAACTTACAATAATAAATAATAATTTCCTTAGCAGCATATTCTCATGACTAAGGACTTCAATGATAGTGCAAGCTCCAACAACAAGAAAAATAAAGAGGTACTTTTTAATATAATATTTTAAACTTAACTGTAAAATATTTCTCTGTTTCTCTGCAGGTTTGCTAAAGCACAAGACTTGTGTCTTTTTCCATGAAGTAAACCAGTATGCTGCATGCAGTAATGCAACTGGCACATACAGTTTATACACGGAGGCAAAATTCACTGCTCTAAAATTAAATGTCATGCCTGTGGATTCAGAAAAAAAAAAAAAATCCTACCTAATATTTCAGAATTAAACCACACAGTAGAAACAGGATGAAATAAAAAGTCGTGCAAATGACCAACACAAAAACATTACAGGACACGTCACAGGCCTATCAGTCAATACATCTTTCAAAATTATTTTATGGCACTCCTTGGGCAGAATTACAACTGCCTATTTAACAAAACAGGTTTTTCAGAATTCACAAAGCAATTACTTGTACAGTCACTACGTCAGTCTGTACAACCAATCAGCTCTATCTCAGGTAATTGCTGAAARGCCACTTCAAAAAGCTGGGKTTTTTTTTCAGCTCTACCTCTACAATCTCTACATATTTTTATTATTAGGTCTTCAAGATTCAGATTCAGCTCTTCAGTGAATTTCATCTGTCTTTGCTCAAGCTGAATATGCTCACACAAGATTTCCCTGAAATCAAGTGCAAATCAAAGCAAGTGAAGCTGTAGACTGCACCCCTACAGCTATTTCACTGTAGTGACAGCTTAGCCCTGTTACAAGTAAAGAATTTTTCCCCTTTCTAAACCATTTGCAGCTATTGCTTTTTTCAAAGTGATGGAGCCAGACTGCATTTTAGTTAGAGGTTCTGTTTTCCACTCTTCAACCTGCGAGGAACTGTCCCTTGTGCAAACAGTAAATTTCTCTAAATTTTTCATGCTGCRATATATCAAATCCATTTCTTCCACTCCTGGATATCCATGATTCTGGCTGGTTTTCAACAAACAGAAGTTTTAGAGAAACAACATCTTTCAAGCCACTAGAGTGTGCTCCTACAGAGGCTAMTGAAGAAAAGCATTCCATCTTTGATGTTATTTGGAACTGTGTTTTTCAACAGTAATCTGTAAAACACAGAGTAGTGTTTTTACCTGATAGGGTAAAGCTGACTAACTTCCTAGAGTGCTGGGCTCCAGAAGCACCTTCATCCGCACCTTCTACTCCCATCTGAAGAAGAGAAAAAAAAGAAAAAATAAATACATCACAGAAGTTTTCATCAGCTTTGTACATACCTGAGGATGATAACACAATTCTAAGATACTATTCTAGGGAAGAATCTGATCAAATACTGCCTATTACCATAGACAGGCTCAGCTACAGCATTTGTCCACAGCAAAATATCTATTATTTATGTCACACAGTGCTAATACACCAGCAGCTCAATTTCTTCCAAACAGAACATATATAGGCTAATATACATGCAGACAACATCAATCCGAGAAAACCTGGGCTTTTTTACAGCTTTCCCTTTTGTAAAATAACAAACAGTATGGAATTGTAATACATACTAAAGCAGTGAGATGAGTAGTGAGCAGACCAGTGACAGCATATGTAATTTTTGTTACTCTCCACAAATAGATAATTTACGTGCAAGAAAAAAAAAAGCAAATAGATCAAAGAGAGACTAAGAAAGCTTTCAGCTCTATGAACAGGAGCTCCTTTTAAACAGAAAATTACACCAGATATCTAGATATAAAAGTGGTCAAAAAGCTTATGCTTCACAGATTTTGAGGTTTGGTTTCTACTGAAACCCCTCCTTAGGTAAAGCACTACTTCAGAATAAAAAGTTTCTCATGTATTAATGTCCATCTCTTTCAACTAGCATAAGAATTTGTCTTTCAAGACAGAGGAGATGTGCATCCAGCCGAATAATCTATCACAGAGACATCAATGGAGCTATCTTTGAAGACAAATGGTTCCTTGGGAAAGCACTGAGCTCACTCCCAGGCAGGAGAGGTCACACAGAAAGAGCCTGAGCCAAACACAGCACAAAGGATTAATACCAGTGATGGAACAGGGTCTGATCTGTTGAAAGATGAAAATAAGCTGAATAAAAATCGGCACACCTGTGTGTGTACATGAAGAATGTGAGGCAGCTCTGAGCAGTGGTTTGAAGTCACCAGATGGAAAAATGACTCTGGAACTGTGGTAGCTGCAGGGAAGCTGCTTTGCATTCACCAAACACGAAATCATTCCTTCTTAAGTTTCTTTAAGCTACTTAATATTATTAGCTTTCAAATACCTCCCAGACGATCAGCAAGTACATTGGAATATAACTGGAATTAGCAAACGTGCAGATTTCTCCAGTCAAAGAGATGAAGAAACAGCCACAATGTTGGAGCCTGACATCCCCATGGGCTTCAGAGTTCTTGTGAGGGAACACACCGTGCCAGCCCATTCCCTTCCCTCACTGATGGCTCCATGAGGCTCTTCCCACTCTCAGGGCCAGGCAAGTGTCACCAGAGTGCTCAGAACTGTCCCTTTTCCACCCAGTGTGACATTATTATGCCACTGATTTTATACAGATGCATAAGCTGTGACAGGTGGCAGCAAAATTATGAAGGCATCAAAAGCAATAGGTYAATTCCAGCTGGATCAGTGTCCCCTCATCTACAGACAGGTTACCATGGAAGCAGCAAGGGGTGCATCCCACTGTGATCCTGATGCTCTCCAGTCAAGGTCAGAGGGATCCTGTGTATTCCAGTGTATCTTTTGGGCTAATTTTAGCACACACTGTTTCTTTATTATAAGCSTTTCTCATCATCAAAAAGGCCTCCCCCATTCTATACCATTCTGCTACAAGTCAGACTCCATTTGAAAATGTAATTTACATGGCTAATCATGACTTCATGTTACAGAATATAGAATTTGCCCACAATTCAGCTCTAACATGAATGGTGACAGTGTTCCCTAGCACCTCCATRACTTTTCTATAAAACTTTTTCCTATTCTATTATGATCTGAACAGTAATTTCAATTCTTCTGCGCCAAGTGAAAAGTTTCATCCTAGCACATACACACACAGAATTCTGCAGCACAAAGCCACATCATCTGGTGTCACACAGTGTCTCTGAATGCTCCATCAGGCCTTCTATATTTCCTGAGTCAAATGAACACAACAGAATGTTAACTGTTTATCCAAAAATATAATGGACTGAAATATCTGGTGGGATGCACCATCAGTGTGAGACAATCCAGTAACCAGGGAATTTACTGCACCATAAAAATGGGAATGGGCACACCATGATTCTCTCACCACTTCCCCAAGGAGCATTCCTCTAACAACAGACAGAACCAGTACCAAGAGGACCCAGTAATCTCTACTGCATGGTGCTTAAGCTCAACACCAAAACCTTGGAAATGCTGTGAAGTTTTAACATTTAACAGTAGGTTTACTTACATATAACTAGCCCAATATGACATTTTTAGGAAGTATCATCTGAACTGTCATACAACATTCTTATCAGGAAAAATAACACCTCACGATTTCTGGAAGTGTGTGCTGTTAACACAAACAAAAATGTTTATATAAAATAACCCATTCCAGCAGGTGTGTAAATTCTGTACAATACCCAGGACCTTGCAGTACCTTTCAAAGGAAAGAAATCTAAACAGCAACAGCTGGTATAAGCCTTCAAGAACTACCATGATTCTGAAAGATAGGACTTCAGGTAGCTACCAAATAATTAAATGCATACACAGATGGTAGAAATTCAGATGTCCCTTCATTCAATGAATCTCAAAATTACTGGTGGGCAGCGTAATAAGATCAATAAAATACTCAAGTTCAACTGGCTTCTCCCTTCAGTAAGTCACTCTGATTCTCAGCAATGGTGTAGTGCAGAATGCAGCCCATTCTAAAGGTTATTTTAAGATGCATTTTTTCCTCTTGTTCAAAATACTACTACCTTACTATGTCTAGTGTGTAAATTTACAAATAGTAGCTGTCAAGCTCATTAACTATGACATATTTTCTCCTGTAAAATATTGAGTTTGTATGCATTAGTGAAACTGTCACTCATAGCGAGATCTGGCAAAGATCTGAAAATTAAATGATGCTATCACCTAGATTGGTAATTCTAAGAGAAAACCCCCATACATTTGGTATATTGAGATATAAAGTCTAGTACAGCACATTGAGTATCAGTAATACACAACACTGAAAAAGCACAACTTCAGAATAAAAACTACTCAGCTTGAGTAACTTCASTTTTAATGTTTCTTCAACACTGCAGTTGTCAGGACACCACCCTGACAGGTGTGATCTTAAATATTTGGCAGCTAGTATCAATGAATCAAATGCACTGTGAAACTTGCTGAAGCTTCAGCTGAGGAGCTAACCTGTTAGATAAATTACTTCCATCAAAAGCATCCTGATACAAGTTTGGAAGGCTTTTCTTCCATTACTTCTTTAAATAACTAATAAAAACTCTTCTAAAACCTAAACAAGCCTCATAATGCAATCACAGTAAGACAATATTTCTCAATAATCAGAGAATTACTAAATTTCAATGGTATATGAACACCCAGAGAATTCAGTAATTTTTGCAAGAGCAGGTTTTTGTCCAGTTTCATTTATACTAACAATTGTTATTCCAGCAACAGTTTCATTGTGAATATTAGGAAATATTTAAGAAATAAAAAGRAATGGAGAATTTGGACAAGGTTTCAGTTATAAACTAATGTGAACAATTTCTGTTATGGTGTTAAATTACAGAAAACTGTAAAAATCAGAAACCTAAACTCAAGCAAATTCTTATAAAAGATTTCAGTYAAGTTCAGTGACTTTTTACTGTTACTTTATTATGAGCAATGCAAAATCATGAAAAGCATTTTCCAGTGTTTATCATTTTTGTTAGGCAACACAATTTTTTGGACAAATAATTGCTGTCATTAGTAAAACTAGGAGACATTGACAGGTTGGTCTGACAGTTAATACTGTCATCAGTACTATCATCTTATAAAGCCTATCAATAAATCATCCAATGCAAATAAAATGAACAAACAGGCTAAACTCACCATCACAGCAGGGTTTTTCACAGTGATACATGGAGTAGTAGCTCGGAGGGCTCCACTAACACCATGGTAGTATTTAAAACAGATCTTTATTTCAGCTGAAAAAAAACCAAAAACCACATTAAACACTTCATGACTGACCCTAGGCAAAAGAGAGACAACAAAAGGATCCATCATTCAGTGACCTATCTTCAGAAATACTCCAACAGGAAATTAAAAACAGAGTTGCTGGTTATCTCCTCTTTGTGTGTGTGGTCCTTCTGTTACTTAACAGACAAAAATGATAATTTATGTAAATCTGCAACTTGTATTTCTGCTACTGTATCAATATCATCAGCCCTGRAAAAGGCATACCATTTGCCACTAGGGTTTGTAGAACTTTGGAAGAGCATGACACATATTTGAAGGAAGCTGGAAGTGCTTTATATAGTGGAACACAGGAAAGGTAAATGCTGCCCCATGTTTCTGGTCCCACTGATTAAAGTTTTGTTTGCTGAACTGCATTTACTGCAAACAAAAGAGTATTATGTTGAACTGAAGCCTGACCTCCCCTGTAGTTCCTCTGCATTTTTCCAACCAAGCAGAACAGCTAGAATTGTGGCTGCCCTCGATCCTGTGGGATTTTCCCTAACTGGAACWATGTCTGTTTTCCTCCTCCATTGGGATAACTCTTCTGTGTAAGGCTGGTGAGGGTTTTACCTCTGGGTACAGAGATGGCCACAGGCACACAGCAATGGCCAAAGGCAGGCAGGAATTACAGCAGCAAGTTCTGACAGAGCACGTGTACCAAAGTCTCAGCAGCTCAATTCCTCTCCTTGGCTTAACAATATTTCAGTAGTCCTGAAGTGCAAAACCACAGAGTTTTGTATAAGGTTTTGAGACACACATGGCACGATTCCTTGAGGGTTGAGATGTTTTATCACTTCCAGATAAAATACCCACTTAGCCGAACAGAAACCTGCTCAGYCAAAAAGGATTATTTATTTTTAAATTTGCTGTAGTTACAAATCAACATTTATTTACTATCTTCCTCCCAGAACAAAGAGGAGACACCTCAGAACARCCCTACAAAGGAAAGTGTCTGGTTGACAGTCCCTCCAGGGAAACAGGAGGTTGAGAAGCTGCTGAGCCCACTTCCTCCTCCTCACAGTTGAGTTCACACACACAGACAAAACATGCTCTATTTACCACAAGCTTTACAGCAAAATTCAAAATGCACCTACAAAGGTTTATTAGAYCTAAAAGTTATCAGGCAGGAGCATGGGTTAGTTTATTCCTGAACTGAGTAATTCAGCTTACCTACAAAGAATGCTTATATTCAGAAGAACACACAAGAATTTCTAGCTCACATAAAATCAGAGATTTGGCACTTGCAAAATTTGGGAAGATTTATGCCAAATATTGGACTCTCAACATTGTCAAAGGCAAATACCAAGTAACAAGAACTCAAGYCTGAGCTCTCTTATTCACACTGAGAACATATCCTGGCTACATGAGAGTGTGGTTAAGACAATGTATTATTCCACCAAGACTTCCAATTTCCATCTATATTGCTTGCTTTTATTGTATTGCTTGCTTTTATTGCAATCTAAGCTTAATTTTTCAGAGAGTTTCTGGAGCTGCAGTTTATTCAGTCTGTTGTCAGTGACTATTTGGTCTCAATTCATCACTTTTGAACAGAGTCTAGCAATGGAAAGGTTATCAGCAGCTGGTTCTATCCACAGACATCCATAATGTGWTGCTGGACAAAATACTCTCACTCCACTGACAGATACATATATCTAAAGGCTGAAATGCAATGCTACAAGTTTTGCATCCTCATATTTCTTTCTCTCAGTTACTTTTATGAGCATGCAATACTTTTCAATACCTGCATATGGCTGGCAATAGAACAACGCTTGATTTAAAAATAGATCTGACAATCCCTTTCAAGTACACTAAATTAAAAAGACAAAAATCAAACAAACAAAAAAATAAAAAAAAACAAACTTCAAGACTAATTGCTAGAAATAATTAGAAAAAGCAGAACACTTTAAAGCATGATATGGAGACTTTTTCTCCCACCTGCACTCCCACATGCATTTAGAGGAATGGCAGATCKGATGTTAGCATTGTGTCAATGGGATCAATACAAGAGAAGCTGAGCTTGAAACTCAGCACAAAACTAAAAAATGAGCTGCCTACCACATGCATGCAGATTTCTTCAAAATGAACATGCATTTGCAAAACTGGATCTTATACACAGCAACAATAAACAAACATTTCACAGGATAAGAGACATCTAAGTGGTTTCTTTCTTGGCTAATAATCCTAGAAACTGCAGGGAATGTTAACARAAGAAGAAACCTCAGAGGAWCCCTGTCAGTTCAAAGCAGCTGAGGATGTCGTTTTTTTTGACATGTCTTGTACTGAGTTATTAGGAAAAAAATCTTGATTGGAAGAGTTTTTTCTTGATGACTGATGGRTTCCTGAGCTCTAGGTATATTGAAAGTRAATATCTGTGACTGCTGCTGATAGYTACAGATGGTGTGCTGAGATGTGTTCTAAAGCCCCATAAATCCAGACTTCTTCAGCAACAGTAAGTTCAATTATCTGCAAATAGGACTTCAGTATTTCGAGAATGAGTTCAATACCATATTCACAAGCAAGTTTCCTCTGAACTGTTCCATATTCTAAATGCACATGAGCACGTGTTACCTACAGAGTTTTCCCAGTTTCCTTCACTTCTCCTGCCACCTTGCTTTTATGGGCTCCCTTCAGGGCAAAACTGGCACTTCTCTTTTTTCTTTCCTAYTTATTCTTCCTCAACAGKTTAATGAGATTGYTTTGCATGTGATCCCTAATGAAAAYRTTATTAGCWGTAMACCCAGYAAAGGAGAGACATCTGTRCMTGACCACTGGACCATTAAAGAAAGSAGGTTGTTTCAGCACAAAAAAGAATTTTCATTCATGGGAAAAATTACTGTATTCTACACACTACACATGCCCTGTTGTTATAGACATTCCTCCAGACATGACACAAAACACAACAAATTCCTTCTTTATTTAAAAATAAGCCAAAATTGAAATGAGGGGATCTATGATTATTTTAAAGTTATCACACGGCCATATAAAGAGTGACATACATGTAACTAACTGGAATACTCTTTCTTTTAAACCAGAATCTCTTTCTTTTAAAAGGGATTTTAATAGTTGTAACCATTTCATAACCATAGTGTTATGGTCCATTACAGGTCCATTACATAAAAATGTTGGAATCAGTAAAGTTTTCTTGGACTCAAATAYTGACATTTGAATTTCAAAAGAACACCTGCATGAAATTATAGTGCTGTTCCCTCTATGGACCATATACCTTTGCCTCTTCAATAATAAAGGGATCAACTTACACTAAATAATAGCTTGGGTTTAGAACATTAATTCCCCACAGTTCTTCACTAATTACTTTTTTACTGCCTTTAATACTTTATGCTTGCCCTTCAAAGGAATGCTTTATGAAAGAAAGATACTAAGGATACATAAACACATGAGCACCATGGTAGGAGAATGAATTCTTTCCAGGAAACTGATAATRCAGGAAAGCAGGTGTGTTTGCTATAAGAACAGATTGCCCCAGACAGACCCTAATCAAACAAAACATCCATATTAGAGGTGGAATCGCCTCCATTGAGAAGGGATGGRCAGACACACCTCCAAAAAACCAAGTCAGATCCTAACTGGGTTACAACAGTCTGTGGAGCAAAACAGTGCTSCTGCTTCACTGCATGGAACCTGCACAGCAGCTGAAACTTCCTGGCCACTGCAGCTGAGTGCCCAGAAGGTGCTTGGGCTGAATCCACGGCTCTCTGCAGATAGAAACATATGTCCTCCAACAACCACCCAGGAAAAAGCTGACATCACATTAACTCCTTGGAAAAATATGAGAGCATGTTCTGAGAAACTTATTTAAGAAAACTGGAACAAATGAAGTCACTCACATCCATGCTTTACAAAGCTATAAAGGAAGATTCAATCTATAGAAAAGCAACTGTGTTAAATCCTATTTTTCTACTGTCTGAACCCGACAGACAAGTGCAGGAATTTAGCAGTGCTCTGCATGTCCTGCCAATTGAACTTTTCCATAGTATAATAGTTCAGTGAACTCAACATTTCTGTTTGGACATTTAGCATTCTCTCCTCTGCATCMCTTTCAGCATGTGCATTTTCGATTACTCCCTACTGGGCAGCAGCAAACACAGCAGCAGAATGCAAGGGCCARAGCTGGCAGCCCCCAGGTACTTGCCATCTCTCTCAGCAGGTGTATCACAGAATTTCTTTGGCAGGAACACTAGGAAAACCACCTACAAAGGGACTTAAACAGACTTAGAGGAAGCTTTTTAGATAAAGTAGGATCAATAACAGAAAATGCTGATGTCCCAGTAGTCTTTCCATCTACCCTGCTTCAAAGGAAACATGAGCAAATGGTTATTGAGGTAACAGATTCTCTCCATCCCTGCCAGCCCTGCTCACTTTGCTGTCACTCAGAGATTCTTATTTACAGCCATGAGCACTGAGTATTATSCTGCAGTTTGGCAAAGCATTTAATTATAATCTAACCTTTAAAACAAAACACCAGGGGTATTATGTGCTTAAGAAAGTCAACAAAGCCTGCCACAAATGTAAAAGACACAAGACTTGATTTTGTTTCAGTTATTTGGTGATACTGAAAAACAGCTTTTAAGAGACAACATAAAAAACCAGCAGAAGAATAATAGAAGTATTTCTAACTCAGTGAATATGTCTATAAATAGAGTAGGCACAATAACCATGAGTCCCCAGATAGACCAGTGAAAGGGCACTGGATGCAGGGCACTGCACAGATGAATGTTCCAGGCTCAGAACAATTCCATGTGAGAAAGCCATGACCTTTACAGAATTTAACTGGTAAAATTTTAAGTGGCAAAAATATAAAGAGTGTACAAAAGTAATGAATTGCATTCGTAAAACATTCATTAACGTTGACCATTATGGTTAAAACCATTACAAAAACTAAACTCTGTTCATACCTCTACTTACAAGCAGCCCTTAAAAGCTAAAAGTATATAAATTACTAAACTGGTAT